TAGAAACTATTTAGTATTTGTTAAAAAATTCGTCCTGTTTTCTGCCCTGTAGGAACTGGAAGCTCTGAAGAGTGAGTTGGAAGACTCTCTGGACACCACAGCTGCCATGCAGCAGGTTAGAACAGCCAGAGAGCAAGAGGTGACCTCTCTCAAGAAATCCCTGGAGGAAGATCACAAAACCTTTGAACTCCAGATAGCAGACATGAGACAGAAACACACCGCCCAGATAGACCAGCTGCAGGAACAGATGGAGTCAGCTAGAAGGGTAGGATGTCGCTTTGATCACTTATTATGTAAGGTTTTGTAAAATGTACAAAGAATGGCATTTAAAGACCTCATTCCCATAGATATTTAGATCGATCTATCTCCCTGGGGAGTCTCACTAGATTGGTGTCAGCTTAACAGGCTTAAATGTCTGTCCTGCCTACTAAAAGCTGTAAGAAGGTAATTAACTGTGGTGCGCGCTCGGCTGACAGCAATGCTCGTCTGACAGCAAATCTCTGGGAATGCAGTCAAAGATTGGATCTAAATACTTTGGACTAAATGCTTTATTCTATTAGTCCATTAGACCAGAAAGTAGACGTTGATAACTTAAAGGCGTTAAGTTTAGAAAAATAATATTTCAAGAATGGAAGTTATCATAGGGTTTATTATTGTTCCAGGCTAAAGCTAATGTAGACAAAGCTAAGTCCACACTAGAAGCAGAAAACATAGATATGGCCAATGAGATCAAACAGCTATCAACAGCCAGACAAGAAGCGGAAAGGAAGCGTAAGCAGGCAGAGTCTCAGCTCCAAGAGATCTCGTTGCGTCTTGCCGAGGCAGAACAAGCCCAGGAGGAGCAGGCCTCCAAGCTGTCACAGTTGCAGCAAGAGTCAGAGCAGTCGTCCAGTCAGTTAATGGAAGCAGACACCAGGGCCTCCCAGCTGTCCAAGCAGGTGGGATCACTCGAGTCTCAGCTGGCTGATGCACAGGTAAGAACAGAACATAAATTGTCTGCAACTACTGTATTGAATTGGAGTCAAGTTTGGTTGATTGTCACTTGTATTGAAGTAAATAGAAACTCGAAGAAGAGAGAGCATTGTGGTTGTTTTTAAGCTGCTTATTTGGAATATCTAATCTTGAAACGGTTACTTCATCTTCATTATATCATTCATGTCCCCTTTTGCAGGAACTTCTCAGCGAAGAAACACGCCAGAAGCTGAGCACACAGTCCAGACTGCGTCAAACAGAGGAGGAGAAGGAAAATCTCCTGGATCAACTTGAAGAGGAAGAGGAGGCCAAGAAGAACTTGGAGAAACAAGTGGCTCACCTCTCGGCACAGGTAAGATGCGATTTAAAGGGAACAGGAAGGAGTTAATTGTTTATGGTCCTATGAAGCAATCGCATCTGGACTGTTTTGTAGTTGGTGTCAGGTTTTTGAATGATTATACTTATCACTTGGCACATCAAACTGATAATATTTGTCACCAGTATTCAATCTACAAAGTTGCTTCTCCTCCTTCAGATGGGCGAGTTGAAGAAGAAGGCAGAAGAGGATGCTCGTATAGGAGAAGAATATGAGGACTACAAGAAGAGAGTCAACAGAGACACCGAGGCCCTTAGACAGCGTGTGGATGAACTCACTGCCACCAATGATAGGTTGGAGAAATCAAGGAAGAAGATGCAGGCTGAGGTATGTGTCTGTTCTTGCATCTAGTGGAAATTCATTTGTAATGTGAATTTAGCTTTGTGAAGAGTCTATCTAGTATATTATTGAAGTTTACATAGCTAAATATTTAGTGTTATGCTTGTGTGTGTCTCTGTATGTTATTAATGTTTAATATTGGATGTGTCTCTTAGACTGTATTTGTTACTTTGTATTTCTTATTTTGTTACATTGTATTTCTTTGTTGTCAGGTTGAGGATCTCAATGTGGCCCTGGAGGGACAAAGAGCCACATACAGCCAGCTGGAGAAGAAGCAGAAGAAGTTTGACCAGAGTTTGGCTGAGGAGAAGGCAGTGTCTGAAAGGTAACTCTTTTTCCATGCAGGGCTATTAATTGCTTGTCCTCACAATTAAGAAATTTAGGTGTATAATAGCAGTGAATGCCTCATTAGAGACGCAGAAAACTTATTTCCAGATAAAAGTTTTCATTGTTTATACATCAAGTTTCCTTGCACTCTGTCTAAATTGTTGCCATATCTTTCCTCTTTCAGACTTGGCCTTGAGAAAGAACAGGCTGAGCGTGAGTGCAGGGACAGAGAGACCAAGATCATGGGTCTGCAGAGAGAGCTGGAGGAGATGAGGGACAGAATGGAGCAGTCTGAACGTCTGCGTCTGCAGCAACAGCGTGAGCTGGAAGATCTTATGTCCTCAAAGGATGATGTGGGCAAGAATGTAAGTGAGACAGAGTTCAGTTTTGTCTTGTTTTTTGTTACTCCGGCAAAAAATGGTAGTTGTATGAAATACCAGCCAGACATTACTGCTAAAATCAGCTTTCCTGTAGAAAATATAACTGTGTGGTTCTAAGTGGAGGTAGTTGTATATGGGAGTATCCTGCCCCTGTGTTTTGTACATATATTTTATAATACACTGCGTGTCTCTTTCTTGTTAGGTCCATGACCTGGAGAAGGCCAAGCGTACCCTGGAAGGCCAGGTTGAGGAGCAGCGTATCCAGATTGAGGAGTTGGAGGACGAGTTGCAGGCCACAGAGGATGCCAAGTTGAGACTGGAGGTGAACATGCAGGCCATGAAGGCGCAGTTTGACCGAGATCTGCAGACCAAGGAGGAGCAGGTGGAGGAAGGAAAACGCAGCTTGGTGAAACAGGTTAGTGTCTTTTAAAGCAATGGAGGTACCTTTAATTGCCAGGTGTCTTGTGATGCAATCTTGCATTACACTTTAAATAGATATGTCAACATGGTCAGTTTAAAGAGAAAAATGTTATTCCTGTCATCTTTTGCAAACTGAAATTCTAGTAAACATTGTCATTCATAATTTCATTAAAATTTTATGGTTGTTTATCATATGTTATTTAATATATTTTAGCTGAGAGAGTTGGAGGCTGAGCTTGAGGATGAACGCAAGCAGAAGACTGCCGCCAGCAATGCCCGTAAGAAGCTGGAGGGAGACCTGAAGGATATGGAACAGCAACTGGACATGGCTAGCAGACTTAAGGAAGATGCTGTCAAACAACTCAGAAAATTCCAGGTACTTTAGATAATAAAGCTATAAAAAAAGATATAATTAAAACTGTAAAAAAAAAATTTGTTTATTTGATAGTTATTGGTTTACACATATGTATAAAATAATAAGTAGAGTTTTGAAACTGGGAACATTGTCTTATTGGAAAACATTCAGAAATACTTAGCAACTCTTGCAACCTGGTTCCTAACATTTCTCCGTCAATTTCCCTCCTCAGGGCCAGATGAAGGACTACCAGCGCGAGCTTGACGAGGCCAACCACCAGAAGGATGAGGCTCTGTTGGCTTCCAAAGAAAATGAGAAGAAACTGAAGGCCCTAGAGGCAGAGGTTATCCAGCTCCAGGAGGAACTGTCTTCAAGCGAGAGAAACCGCAAGCAGGCACAGGCAGAGAGAGACGAACTCCAGGATGAGATCAATAACAGTGCTAACAGCAAGTAAGTACAAAAAGCATTGGCCAGACGAAATAGAATAGTTTATTTGCTGTTTTATGTGACATTTGATTATTGCTACAATTTTGTCAGAAATATGAGCAGTAAAAAATAATGGTTTACTGTTATTTTCTATAATATAGAACGATGGACTAATGTTTACTGGTATCAGTTTTGAATTGTGTTACACCCTTTTTTTAGGAGTGCCTTACTCGATGACAAGAAGCGTTTGGAGGCCAGAATTGCTCAGTTGGAGGAAGAATTAGAGGAGGAACAGAGCAACATGGAGATCTTAGTGGACAAGGCTAGGAAGAATGGGGTACAGGTAAGAATGAAATATAGATAACACCTTTTATAGTTTTATGAGAAGCTGAGAAAAATATGGTTATCTATAATAAAGAATGTAAAGAAATGTAATGTATATGAAATGATAAGGAATACATAAACACAAATAGGAGATTTATTGATGAATTGTGAATTATTTGATCAGATCGAGCAGTTGACCACTGAGCTGGCTGCAGAGAGATCATCCACTCAGAAATTGGAGAATGCCCGGATGTTGCTGGAGAGACAAAATAAGGAGCTGAAGGCCAAGCTCCAGGAGCTTGAGGAGGTCACAAAGACCAGGAACAAGGCCACCATTGCCGCTCTAGAGAGCAAGATTGCCAGCATGGAGGAGAACCTGGAGACTGAAGCCAGGTAAGAATGGCTCATATAAAAAATGTAAGGATTCCATTTTGTTTTGAAAAAAAAAAAATTGCGAGGACAATTAAAACAGTTTAGGTAAGTTTCATTTTGCATTCACAATTTTGTATTGTAAAGTTGGAGACAGTTACCTATATTTTTCGGCTCTGTTTAAGTAAGCTCTCACAAGCACCTCTTTCCTTTGAGTGTCTGATATATCTGTTGTCTTCCAGAGACCGACAGGCCCTTGCCAAGTCCAACCGTCGCCTGGAGAAGAAGCTGAAGGAAATGGTGATGCAGGTGGAGGATGAGCGCAGACATGCTGACCAGTACAAAGATCAGGTACAGTGTTTGTCTTTATTTTATCAATTTCCTTTACAGTCAAGGTTTTCACAAATGGTTGCTGTTTATGCAATTGATCTGTGTGTACATTTATAGCATTTGGCTGGAGTTTCTTAAGTACAGTCATGTTTGATGAATGTCAGACCATTTCCAAATGAAGTGAAAATCAAGAAGGCCAAATATAATGTGATATTTCCATTGGTTCTGGGAAAAATTGTTCATACATATAGTTCACTATTGTCCCCCTCACCATTCAGGTGGAGAAGACAAACTCTCGCGTGAAGCAACTGAAGCGACAGTTGGATGAGGCAGAAGAGGAAGTGACAAGGCTGAACGCAAAGAGCAGGAAACTCCAGAGGGAACTGGACGAGCAGAATGAACAGAATGAGGTCATGACCCGAGAGGTCACTTCACTCAAATCTAAAATGAGGTAGGCACATCAGCTGGCCTTCCAGTGATATACTAAGTTTTATGTAAGGTTATGTAATTTCCCCTCTGTTTAGGTGACATTCTTGAACTATTGTATGTGGTGATTGGAAAAAGAAAGCCTAAAAGCAGATGCTGGACCAAGTTAAATTTACTTTTGTGAGAATATGAAATGTACAGACCAGATGAAGTTGGATTTCCTTGAGGTCAATATAAATGTTAGACCCTTACATGTACAGATTTTTTTTGTTTGTTTGTTTGTTTGAACTAAAATACAAAACAGTTGCTGGAGTTTTATACTTGTTTTGTCATTGATTAACAACAACAAAGTTTCAATCTTTTTAGGAAAGGCCTTGACAAAGTGGATGCTGATTCAGGTAGCAACTTCCGGGCATATCAAAGCAATTTATGAAAACATGCTGTTATATTATATATCCACTAGTCACTTCTGACCTAGACACCATCTAAACGCAAACTGCTATAGCATTACTGTTTTCTTTTTTTGAATATATATTTATTTATATGAATCCAAAATCTGAGAAAAGAGTTGTCTTTGTGTATTATATTGCAAAAAAAAAAAAAAAAAAAAAAAAAAAAGGAATCCCAGTTTCATTATATAGTGTTTGTTAGGATTGTGTCAAGGTACCAAGCAGAGTTAGCCCCTAACCCAGAGTTTGCTTTTCAGTGCTCAAAGGGTTGCTTACGATATTTATTTGGGTTGCAAGAAGTCATTGCTCCGAGGTGGATACCTATTATGATACAGCAAGTTGGATTAGAAATAGCCGCCGTCCAACACATAAAATATATCGTTACAGTATTCTATATCTCATTACCTGTTTACATCTACATACCAATCACGTGAGGAGGCCAAGTGCATGTTTGCCTTGCTGGATAATGGAGAATTTAAGAGAACTGCTGTTGCTTATAGCTGAGGAAGAACAGTCTGCATGATGTGGTTACAAAACCCACCATACACCCATTCACACCTGCAACATACACCCACCTAGACCCCATACCTACCCCAATTATACCCCGACTCCTCAAAAGAAATAAAATGGACTATGTGTCAAAATTCACAATTTACCATAATCTAATATAAGCATGGCATATGAACCAGCGGCGGATCCAGAGATATTTTCTGACAGTCTTCCAAATTATCTTTGTTAATCCATCCTCTATTTTTGACAGTCTTCCGTCAGAGAATATTAGATACCCGTCAATGTAAACTTGAAAATCTGACCGTCTTCCGGAAGACCCAGAAGACGCCCTAAATCCGCCCCTGTGAACAGTTTTGGCAGGTGAAGCATTACAAGGGATTTTGACACTGTTCACTTCATTTCTCAAGAGTAGGGAAAACCTCATGATAAAATGTCAGCCAGTCTTTAGTTTGTAAGGTCCTTATCACATGGAGCGGTACAGTTAACAGGAGGCTGTTTCGTTAAGTTAATGAGTTGGCCATTTGAGCACAGGGTTTTTGTTTAGGTGATTCTGTTTTGTAAAAAGCATGTTATTAAGTTGTTAATCTTCCAAAATGTGCTGATACAGTTAAATGTACCGTGCAATGTGAGAAGGCCTTCAATGAAGCTATAGAAAAAATGGTCTGTATTTTAGCGTACCAGTTGACGGAGTCACTTTTGTTTTTCAGACGAGGAGGGCTTGATAGGGAATCGAGGACGACAGCACGATCCAGTCTCCTAAGCTCATACAGGACCAGCACAGTGCCATCTACAGCTTCTACTGGGGACAGCGAGGATGAGAAAGATGAACAAACATCACAGGTGGAGGGTAACGGAATGGCACAGAATGCTGATGGTTAGGCTCTGAGCTGGCTTCATACTCCTTGGCACTCTGACTGATATGAATTCATAGGAAGACCATTTGGAAGATGCTGTCAAAAAATGGAGACTGATATTTCATAGAGTGTAATTGATGCTGAGGATGAATTCATGTTTCTTCATTAAGGGTGTCACAAGTTAAGTAAAGAGCCTACATTGGTTGGACTCTGCCATATAACTATGGCAACTTATGTAAACATACACAATATGTGATATAGCAATTTGAATGAATAAGAAGAAAAAAAAACAAGGAAAATTGTGAAGAAATTATTTTTCATACTGTGCAAGATGTGAATATTGTGCATGCTTGTGAGACTTTATATGATATTAAAGAACATTATAGTTATCTGAAGGTCACCCAGCGTGAGGGACAGAAAGGGGAGTGAGATAAATTAGATAATACTGCTGCTGCTGTAAGGTCAGAAATATTTAAAAAAGAAAAAGAAAAATGGCCAATAATATAGTTCTACATTCTGAAGTGAAGTACATTACACAAGAGGTTGCTTTGGGTTGAGGGAGCTTAGTAGAATGCAAGACCTTGAGTTTTTTTTTTTTTTTTTTTTTTTTTTTTTTTTTTTTTTTTTTTTTTTTTTTATGAAAGGCTATGCTCATGTACATAAGTAGAACAGTCTGCTTAGTGTGGTGTACTAGCTGGCTCTCATAGTTTGCCAAGTGACCTTATGTATTGATCATATACATATATATATACATACATATGTTTATACTTAAAACAATTCTCTGTAATGATAACTTGAGGCACTTTGAAAATCGGGCACTGAAAACCCCATCATGCCAAAATGCAATTCCTGTCTTTCACACATTGCACGTTTGGCCTCAACCTTTACCGATTATAAACTGACACTCGAACATCTCGAGGGCTAACAGATCTGTCTCTCGGTCTACAGCCAAATTCAAATTCTCCTGATGCTGTCACTGTGAAAGGGCTGCAGTAGTACCGTGTGTTGTGTGACAACAATTGTGATTGAAGACGGCTAGCAGTAGACGGACATTTAGCTGCTCATCCAAGCATTCCTTAGGAACGATACGATGGTATTTAACTGACCAAGTAAACATGCCATATATATACATACATATAACATGCTTGTTAATGTTATTATTCTTAGGCAACTTGTTCACAAGTATCATTACCTCAGACGAGGTTCTTGAATGCTTTATAAAGTAATTGTTATTATTAATTTCCCTTTGGTGTGGTCTTGGCATTCTTGATACGTTTTTTAATACATTGACTGTAACAAGTAGTAAACTGGCGCGGTTCATTCATTATCGGATGGGCTGCGCCTACGCCAACATGAAAAGGATGCGTTAAGTAGCGTTTTGTTATAAGCAGATAGACTAGGTCCATTTTGGCTACTGTCCTTTTTACACATAGACTTAACCACTGACCCCCCTCCCTTCCTGGTGTATGGTATGTATATACGTTGGAAGGCGCTGAGGGGGTCTAATAGTTAACTTTGCACTTGGTTAGTCTCATCGCTTGGAGTATGCATTATGACGTTGCCACTGGTGGACAAGCAGATGTTTTTTGTTAAAGCTTCTGGTACTACCACGTTGTAATAAAATTTCACCAGTACATACGGGATGAGTCTTCGAGTTTTCATTTTGCCTGAGTGAGGGATTTGTTCTTGACCAGATTCAACTATCTTCCCCCACCTTCACCCCCAGATTCATAACATCCCTAACATGTTAGTTTAACATTCCAACCAAGTTAGTGTGAATAAGGATAATCGACTCACTTATTTTTATGCAAGGTTTTTAAAACGACTACTTGTCCCTTTCAACATAATAAGAATGTCGCAGGTTAACAAAATAAACCCAATAGTTATAATAATATATAATAAACGAAAAAAATATCATACTTAAAAATATCCAGTTTATTTTTTCTTCGTAATCTACTTGTATACTGAATGGACAAACATCACATGATACATTACCAACTAAAAGGCAAAATCTACTCTTTTCTTAAAAATAATTCTTTGGCAATTTTTGCCCCTGATTGGAATAATAATAATAAAATACCACAATTGACGTAATTTATACAATTATGTACACTGACGTGGTGCGCCCAGTTCTATAAAACCATTTTGAAAGCGTTTATTTCTAAAGGTTCAACCTGGATGATTTCATTATTATCTATTGCTTCTTTGTCATACATTAATGAAAGTGAACTTGGCATGATTTTCTTAAATGGAATGTTTTTAAATAGGCGTCCGAGAGGAATCTGAAATTATAAAAGAAAAGTATATATATATTAGAAAACTTGAAAGTGTTTTGAATTTAAATCTGAGCGTGATAACCCACCCTGTCGTGCAATTAACACTATATTCGATTTATGCGAGAAAAATTTACGACTAAATTACAATTAGACCCAATTTATATAGGTTTGTATATTTTCTGTCTGTACCATAAAGAACGTTGAACCATAAGTTACGAAAAGAGAAAGAAAAAAAATGCAGTTGTTAAACGTTGGGTACCTTTCCATTCATTGCTTTACACTGCAACCCAGTGGTCGGGAAGGAGCAGTCAATTCCCACTCTGTGGATCAAAAGTGCGGCCGAATCCTTGGGTCTCCAGTCATTGGTGACGCCTTGCAGCGTTCGGAAGTTGAGGAGGTGTAGCTCGCACGGGAGGTCGTGTAGCAGAGGAGAATAGTGGGGACTTAACTCGGTCTCCGGGTCCACTGTCTCGCGCCTTGGTAGCACGTGGAACGGGTTGGTATGCGCCAGACTCAGTAGATGAGAGGCCAAGGATGGGTATCCGACAGGGGAAGACTGAAAATATTAATTAAGTATTAAAATATCATTTCTTAAGTTCGGCTACCTGCTCAGCCAAGGCCATGGCTTGAAAATAATAATTTTAAAAATACATGGCAGTTTATACAAATGGAACAGAACAAATCGCCGTTAGAAGAATACAACCAAACAGATTACAGTGTTAGGTGAAGATATGAGAAAAATAATATTAACAATCCGTCGATGACCAAACAACTTTTACAATGACAATGGAGCACATTAAAATGCCTTAAGTTTATATAAAAAAGTAATTCAAGTCGAATCAGGTATGGGAATATGCTGTATGCAATTATTTCTCGTTGCACGCAATATTTTTTATCAACTGAGGTCGGGGCATGTACCACAGTGGACCCATTGTCCCATCTGTCACCATTCATCATGGCTGCATATACCAAGCCTCGCTCACCTGGTCGCTGACACCTGCGGTCCTGGGCTCTATCAGCACTCTGAACCTGCTGAGCGTGGGCACGTTGTCCGTCATGCCTTGCTCCAAACCCCTATGGTCATCCCGCAGCAGACGACGGTCCAGCATCACCTCCAACCAACCTGAAATCACGTAAATGGCGCTAAAATCTAATATAAAATCGAATACAAATTTCTTTGTAGGATGAAAACCGTGCTGTGCGCCAGTGAAAGCCACCCATGTTTTGCGCCAGTCGCACATGCTAATTTGCACATTTCATTATCTCGAGGCATGTAGAAGAAATGTTGACATTCATTCTCCTTCATCATTTTAACAAATCTCCCATGAAAACAGTACAAATAAACTTCATTTTCAGTTAAATCACATACTTATACTGCACGAAAAATACTAATTTCAAGAGAAAGTACAAATCGGACAGATAATACTGCCAGTTACAAAAGATTTCTGATAAAGCAGGACTGTTTCTAAGCGCAAGCTGCATGACACTGATTTCATGTTTATCTTACCGTGGCCCATACTGGCGGTTCCATGCGGTTGTGCTGACAGCAAGTTAAATCTTTTCTGTTCGTTTTCCATGTAAACCATGGTAGTTATTGGGTAATAATTGGCCTGAATTGGCTTGTTAATCAGCGTCTTTCGTCTGGTGAACTATCAAAATACAAGAAAAATTACTGACTGGTTTAAAATATTTCCTATGAAAGACACCTATCCAACTATGTACGTATTTTTGCTACTGATTTTTAACCGACACATTTCTAGTTTTGAAGCTGATATGAAGCGGTTGTGTGTAGCAAACGTTTTACAATCAATTGTTGTATCAATAGGGAATTAAAACCGTTTATTGATGTGGATGTTTCATTTTTTTACCTGGAACCCGTTCAGATCGGTATAGAACACTCCACTGGAGTCAATATCTGTCCTAAACCTCATGACGAGTTCTCGATCGTCCATCGACTTTTGTGTCATGTCGACAATATTTTCTATCTCAAACGCTCCCCCGTCAGTACCTGAAAACAAAATATTTCCTTTCACTTCCGTCTGAATCAATCTCACTGTCTTGTGTTCTGTTAATTCACTGTTCAATTTATATCTCTTCTCATTTTAAAATCAACGAAACGACAGAAAGTTCAATTTAATTCGTTAAATTTTAATGTTTATTTGGGGAATAGAATTGCAACCATGCTCATGTTAATTTAACAAAGTAATTACCTGAGACTGCATTGATGCGCACCATATGCCGCACGTGCGGTAAGAACACGTGAACTTCTGACACGATATGTCCATGTATAGCCCGGATGTATGGCTCGCCGGGTTCTATGAGCTTTATGATAAATGAAACGAAAGGAAGTTTAAGTAAGACTTTGCTGAAACAAGGAGAAAGCACATAATAATCGTGCATTTTACGTGATACATTAACTAAAGAAATAATACAACTCGTATCTCGCAAAACTTGGCAAATAATCATCCGCTACAAGTATATTTTTCTATTATGCAATGAAATTAACGATAGCCTTATATACTTCTTTTTGTCACTGTTAAACTTACTGATGCCTCTCCCATCGGCAGGAACAGATACGCCCCACCTGAGCTTTTGTAGTTTACGAACTCTAGTTTTACTGCCGTGCTCTCGCAGCTGGCTTTCTCTGTTACCAGCTACAACGATAGACAAAATATGACTTTTGTGTAAAAAAAATAAAAAACAAAACACAGGTGCAAATAAGCAATTTTCGGGAGGTGAAAAACAATCGACATAAAGGAGAATGCACATCTCTATTTATCATCAAATAGAACAAATACACATAAACTTTTGGTGTTTAAAATAAAATAAAGTATAAACTTCAAGATAACTGACACACAATGGAATTAACTTTAAAAAAACTGGCAACAACAATGTTGCGTAGGAACAAACGGAAAACTGTCTTCATTATAAAACCAAGCACTTAGTGCTAAGTCAAGTTGCCAATATCACCAGGGAAATTTGTTTTCATGAAATATTTTCTTATATTTATAATTCACCCCGAATGCTACTGACCCTGTAATGCTGACATCTAAATAAAACTCTCGTGCGCTCTGCAATATTGTATCTATTCTAACTTGTATCTGTCGTCGGCGCGCATGTTTTAGCTGATGATGACTTATACTTAACGAGGACGGCCGCTCATTGTGCATGTCAGATTTTATTTTTTTCAAAAAAATCGTTGCACATACTTTTAATAATCCAGTTGCTTCAAACTTCAGTTTTACTCTACTATTTTCTATGGCGAATTCCTCAGCGCGTCTCTTTAATATTGGGAATATGAACCTGGAATTATCACAAAAATTAACATCTAACTAAAAATAAGTATATAACTCCACATGTGTGTCTTGTGTAGATTTATTATTCTTATGTGATAGGCCTACTGCGTGCACTGCATCGTTTGAAATCATTTGTTTACATTACATTAATTTATTTTAAAGATATGACATGAGGGCCTATAAAATGTCTAAATATTCCAAAAGATATAAAGCATTTTGGCTACTTACGACCCTTCGGGCTGAGGTAGTTGGGCACCACTGTTACTGTTGTATATAACAATTGAAGCATAGCTATTTCTGGAGTTTTCCTTGGCTTCCACTTGCCTTATAGCATACGTACTCATACCCAATGCAGGTACACTGGCCACGAATGCCAGCTGGAATTATAATTCGTATTTCTATTTGTGTTTTATTTGTGCGATGAAAATGAAATAAATACAAAACATTAAATAACTATCATTTATGTCAATTTTTGGTAGCCATGGAGATATAGGCCATAGGCTACGGAGCAAGGGTGGGAACAAAATTTCGAACAAATTATAGATAATATTTTTTTCAGAGAAAATATCTTCTATTTGGGAACCTTATTCTGGTCGCTCTGTACACAAACTCCAAGTAACAGATTACTTAAAAGTGAACAAGGACAGCATTGCTGAAACTTTGAAGGTGAATCATCAATAAATCTGCGAGACTTATCATCTGCAGTCTATCAGAGAAGGCGCCAGCCTACAGAGCTACCCAGTATACCTGTTGCTATTTAATTCTTGGTACCGATAACAATGCGTCAGAGAATAAACCATATACCTGATATATAGCAGAGGAGGGTTGATCCCCGTCGTTCACCCAGTGCGGAGACACCTGGCTTGCAATGATGTTCCCGCCGGGACTTTTAACCTCCACGTGCGGCACGTCAATAAGCACGCGCACGACTTGAACCATCTGATGTGCCAGGGAGTTGTACAATACAACTTGTCTGGAGAACAAATTAGATAAACGCAAACTTATGAAATTGTTGTAATTTGTCTTTTTTTGTTTTTCACATATTTTAGAAAACCAAAACTTACATCAAAATTAATATATTCGGATTTGAAAGCAAACATAAGTTGATGCCTACCTTGGTCTGAGTCGCAGGTTTATCACGCGCTGCTCGGGAATCGAGTCGAACCTTTTCATGTATTCATGCTAAAACGACGAAAAGATAATCAATATCACAACTAAGGGGGGCGTATGCTAAAATAATAAATGTTACCCAATCACACATATGATTAAAAGAGTAGATTATGAAATTTTGGTGTCTTATATCTTATTATTTGGATATCCTGTGCTGTGCTTCTATATGTATATCTCAGAGGCTAAACACGCTCTTTTTGAATAAATGTATTGCCCTGCTTAAAATACGAAACTTCGGGTGATACGTTAGATTAACGGTTATCGTATAATGGCAAATCCTCTTACCGTTTCAAAAAACTTGCCCGATATGTTGTACTTGTATAGAGTTTTGTCCTTCGTCATTAACACGTGGGCGGCCTCTTCCGTTACCGTATTAACTTCACTTAATGCTTTGCTAAGTCTAAAAAAAAAAACACGACTTGTAAGTCAAAAAAAACATCAACGATCTGAACGCATGAATTCTTCTTTGAAAAGTAAACACAGTTCTATATTTTTCATATACCATATTTAACAATTCAAATAATCATAGTTCAGCCATATGCATCTGTTTACTACAACTTATACCACATTATCTAAACATTATCCACAGTCAATCTATTTTTAAAATCTTCAAAAAAACTATCACTGTTATGATATCGATAATAAGTCATTTCAGAACAGGTTTTTTTACAGACTATTAGAAAATATATATGATAAAAATGTACTTCCTCATAGAACGAGTGGATTTTTCACTAGCACTTCATACACTTACAGTTTTCCATAATCTCTGACCACGTGGTCCTTTGATGTCCCGGTGATGGCGTCATGGTGTTGGAACAGACCCAGCGTTCGTCGAGCATTGACCAGATACCGCATCAATGTCCTGGCAGGAAACTGTTCATGGTGGTTTTGTTTGGAAGCTGTTTGAGCCATGGTGAACAAAATCTCTGATCCCCTAAAGTCAATAAAAGATGCTTTTACAAAATTTGCATCGCTTTGAAAATAACCATCTCTGTCTGACAACATTCATATAAATATTGTGGATTTTTCAACTGATTTTGACAACTTTCCTGTTAGACCTACCTGAGCTTAGTCTGAAGTAGCCTGTTGATGTACTTATAGAATGGCCGAGAAGTGAAGTATCCAGTCCAGTAACTCTGACCAAGATCCGAGTAAGGGAAGAAGTCGCCACTAAGGACAGGGAAGCCGGGCACGGTAGAACCTGGCTGCACCTCGACTCGCTCGTACAAGGCGTTGAAATAATCCGTCAGCGTTCCAAAACGGGCCTATGAAGAAAATTAAAGTCACGAATTTCAAATTTTAATGGGATATTCTGGTAAATGGGGAGTTTGAGAATTGTAAAGAAATACTGATTGGCTTTTGTGAGCTTATTTGTTGAGATCAGAAATATTGCTTAAGAAACTATAACACACCGTATAAAAGCTTCAAGAATACTACAACAAGTGACATGAAAATGATTATTTTAAATACTGACAAAATCAATCGTCATTGTAAAACCAAATAAAGTTCTTCTCTTGCCCATTTAACGTACTGAAAAAATACGGAATTGAAAACAGTACCTGAACATTCCAACCGGGGCGTGAATTCATGTACTGGAACAGCCTCTGGTAATTAGTGTACTGAAGATCCCACTCCTCCGCCTTCAGGTAACGAAAATCATCACCCAGGGGGACAAGCAGGACGTTACTTTTGTACAGACTGGCCTTTTTTCTGTACTGCTCCAAAAGTATTTGGGACCTTTGGATGAAAATTAAGAAATATGCTCAGCAGGGTGCGAGAGTTTATATAGCAATGAATTAAACTGATTTTGATTCATTAGTAACGATCGAAAAGGTTAGGAAATAGCAAAAAATAAAATAAATAAAATAACAATTAAATAAACTAAAAAAACACACAAAACAATGCAATCACATGGTAGAAAGGGTCGTTGGTAAAATTATATTATAAAAAGTCCACTTCATACTAACTTCATTTCCACATTGCTATCATCAATCATCCCGGCGAATTGGCCACTGCAAGACAGAACACCTTTCTGTCGCTTAAAGTCGAATAGGCAGCATGTATGTCCATTGACCCCGCACGTGTTGATGACGTCATAATGGCCCCCAGGCATCACATGACAGAACATGTCGGTTTCACCCCTTGGATCTAAATATTTGCAAAACACAATAAATAAAAGACATAACATTAGTCATTTATCACGATATGGCCCAAAACACAGCGAAAATATTTAAATATATCCTGATATATCTATGATACTTCTTTGTATATAATCAATACTTATTTTTCTTAGATGGCCACCAACAAATGTTCTTCTCATACAAGAAATTCTTATCTATATGGAATTTTATTTCAAAAAATAGTAAGGGTCTATTGCGCGTTTGTCTCTCACCCCAGAGTTGTCTCCACATGAACTCCAGCGTCTTCCGCTGTTTCTGCACGGCTTTTATCTTGGCGTCCACGCGCTGCAGAAGCATGCTCTTAAAGTCCATCCTCTTAAGCAGGTAAGCCATAGTGGAGGAGTAGCCAAAGGGATCTATAGACCAGCCACTCTGTGGTTTGATACCTGGTGAGGAATAGAAATAGGAAATACTAGAAAGGCTGACCTTGTTCCATTTTTGTTTACCGTAGTAGGAAAAAATTGATAAACAATGAAATGTAGGAGAGAAACCATTTAAAGAAGTGGGGGATATTTATGTAATATTTCATAATTAAAAAGAAGTTATGCTGTATGCTGCAAGTCAATGAAGAATCAATTATAATTTTCACAGATTCCGAAAAAACTGTTTAGTTGGAACAAAAAGTTGTATCCCGTGGTATTTCTATTACCTAATTGGTTCTCCAGCCACTGGTGTCCCTCTATCATCTGGTCAATCATGGAGAAATAATGGGCAGACGCTTCGTCTGTCATCACCCAACCTCCTGTCACGATTTCCAGGCGGCCTTCTTTGACGTACCTGGAATACCATAGTATCCCATATGATATGTGTCAAATAACAGTCTATTCATGCATGATTTGTCGTTGTATTACTTAACCAAGTAAAAAGAAATAGCAGTGCATTCATTCATCAAGCATGTAACATGTGAATTCACTTATTAATGATGAATGCCCTTTTATTCTGAGGTACGACACCAATCTCAGCCGCTTTTGGCTTCTTCAGACGATAATTCACATTCTGCCAATGTTTTTGCCGTATCATGTAAGGTCACATTCGGTATCATGGCTTACATGTTCAATCTGTTTAATTAGGAAATACCCTTTATGTTTATATGTCCAGATGTCAATACGAGTTGGATGAGTATAGTTTCTATACTACGTAAATAAACGATAATACACCCGACTCTGTGGTTCTTTACATGGACTCTTTTAACCAGAAAGCAACCCACAAAACGTCAAGAGACATCATGCAAGGTAACAATAGAGATGCCCACCCTTATACCAAATTATGCCATCTGGGCTACCAATAAGATGCATTGACAGGCAGTTGCCCTGTTTTCCTTTTGCAAAGGTTACATTGACACTGTTTGAACGGCAACTAATATTTGATTGCTTTGCCTGCACAGAACATAATAATGCCAGAATTGTCAGGGTTGCGGGTTGGCCAGAAACAACAAACCTATTAACATACACCAGGAGAATACGTGTCAATTGAACTCGTATTGGCGTGTCCTGCATATTAATTCACGATAACTCATGGTAGGGTCAGAAAATTTCAACCATCTCCATGCGATCTGAGTGGACTTTTTATCATTATAAGGCAACGTACATGTTGTACGAAAATTGTGTCATAAAACCTTGCCAACTGAGTGTGCATGGAAAGGCGAAACTGACTCAGTTCAAAATATTTCGTGTGTGCGCCATCCCATCACCACATTGTCAAATAGTATTCGTAAATTACATACTACTAGAGTGATTGTTTTCGGTTTAAGGCAGCGTTTCTCTGCTTATATATATATATATATATATATATATATATATATATATATCGTGCAAACTTCGTGCACAAATGTCAGAACTGGTATTAAAATGAATGAGCACACCCTCTAGTGCTATAGAGACTATTTAAAAAATGTAGGTCTTAGGATACGTCAAAGGTAAGCAAAATAAAAACGTGGCATTTATAATTTGCTCCATTAATGTTAAAACAAGAATTAATTTAGCAGTATTAACTTTAATTTTAGATAATTATGACTAATTAAAAAACTTACTGTTTGACTTTGGCTTGTTTTTCAGGACTGATTCTTTCAAACCAAGGAGCAAAGAATGAAAGCTCGGCATAGATGAATGTCATGTCCTTGTATATATCCATTTTTTCTACCATATTGTCCAATATATGACTTGTTAAATTGACAAGGTAGTCGTCATAAGTTCTCAGCCATCCTGTAAATAAAACTTCAATAAATCAGAAGTGTTTAAATACTAACGTGCAAATATTCTAACAATAATACAGTTGCCACTTCCCTTCAGTTTATAATCCATATTCTGAACGTGATATGACATCAATATCAATTAAATCTTCTGATTTTACTTATTATTTTCATTTTAGTTACTTTGCAACGACATGTCTAATTATCATTTTTTTTAATCATGTGGGCAACACTCCACGGTAAGACCTAAAGTTTGTTCCGGTGATAACTTTCGGTAGATTATTTTTATTGTTGTAATCTAAATTGCCAACACATTGGATTATACACAATCTACAGTATCGCAAGCCCCTTCCATGCAGGTGTACCTACCAGGGTCATTGTGTGAAAATGGAACCACAAATATTTTTAGTGGGAGAGTGCTGTAATCTTTCTCAGATTTGGTAGTCACATGTTTCTGTCGTAAACCGTTTTCAAAAACGTCTTGGACCTTAAAAAAATTCATGTTTGAGCCACAAATGAGAAGTTTAGGATTATCAATATTATTTACATTACGTGTACATTCAAATCTTTGGTCTAATGTTATTTAAAGACCCACCCCCAAAAATGATAATAAGATAAATCCCCTATTAAAATGTTATTCCATCCAACATGAAAGAGACATGAATATTCTGGTGCGTAATAAGGTGGACGTGGATTCAAGATTCCTAGAACATATTATAATTTCCTGTGACTAAACTCCGTTTCAGCGTCGACTCACATTGAAGTCCACGGTTGGTGTCGGTCTATCGGTCAGCTTGCACATACTGGTGGGCAGCAGTACCTCCTGCAGGCTGCTAGTTCTGTCTTCCTCACTGTCCACGGTGTCATCACTGTCCATCAGTAGCCTCTCTAAGGCTTGTGCCAAGTTTGGGTCATCCCTGGCCACTTTATACAATACGTCTTGTATACCGTCTACAGTCTAAAAAAAAAGTCACTCATTAATATTACAATGTACTTATTCTTTTTTCTTAACAGAGACAAACGTCATATATATAGTAAAATATTTCATTTCTTTTAACCATGTAGTTTTTTAAATTGTTTGTCTTTATTTCTATGACACTTTAATAACCATTATATTAGTATCGTTTGTACCTTATGATAAATATCAGACGTTTACATTTACAAGTCAGTACCCGTAGGATGAAAATATGATTGTAAAAAACAATGCATAATATTAAAAACCAACTCAATAAGTTTTATGGCGCAGTTTCATACATATTGTGAGCCTAAGGCTGTTTACCTTGTGCCTGCTTTTGACGGCCGCTTCTATGTGTTCTATTTTTTCTATCATAGCAGCAAGGTGG